AAAAAAAAAAAAAAAAAAAACTAGATCAAACATTTGGATTGGTTTTGAAATGATGTTGGAGTCTAGTCATTATTAATGACTGAAACTCACCTGGTAACAATGACACAGTGCCCGGGTAGGGAGTGCATTAATCAAAGTGCCCACCTCCTGCTGCCTCTGGGTCAAAATGAGTTTTAAAAATTGAGGTTTTATGGGTTGTTTTTATCCCCGTTTTTATTAGAGCTGTTTGTTCGGTTTTGTGCTCAGCCTGACACTGAAAATTTAGATTCTTAAATAATCACTGAATACATCATAAGAGCATCAATGAAAGTAATAAGTAAGTAGTGCATTAACGATGGCTCAGTGGGTTTGATCCCCGGTTCGGACCTGTGGTCTTTCTTTGTGGAGTTTGATGGAACTTTCCAAGCAAAAAACGGTCACTCTCTGTCCTCAGGGGGCGGGGTTACAATGATGTCAGCATATGACCACATGGTATCATCGGGCATCGAACATGGATGACTCATAGCAAGTTTGGAGTAATTCTGACTCTCCTTGTGAAAGTTACAGTGTTTCAAAAATGTTGGCGAGAAGGTCATTTTTGAGGCCAGGCCACGCCCCCTTAACATGCTAAAAAACTCACCGTTTTGATCATTTTTAATCCCCCATGTCTTAGCAGCATATTGACCAAGTTTGAAGCCAATAGGTCATGGGTTTTCTTCAGTTAAGTTCATAATAAAATTTGGTAGAGCTGTTGCCTCTCAGCAAGGAAGTCGCCTGACTGAAACCTGGCCAGGGAGCTTTCTGGGTAGAGTTTGCATGTTCTTTCCATGCATGCGTGGGTTTTCTTCGTGTACTCCGGTTTCCTCCCACAGACCAAAAACATGAATGTTGGATTGGTTGGTAACTATGTGCGAGTAAGGGAGTGAAAAGTTGTGAGTTGTGCTGTGATGGACTTGCAATCTGTCCAGGGTGAACCCCGCCCCTCGTACAGGGACGTCTGCACATGGACACCAGTGACCCCCTGTGACCCTGAAATGAAGTGGGTAAAGATAATAGATGGATTTTTTAAAGGGCCCACAGAGGAAGATTTTAACATTCCCATTTAAAATGACAAAAATTGGAACRTGGCAGTGACTCCTGATTTATGGAGCCAGTATGAAAAAAAGGAACTCGTCCTGATCACAATTAGAATATTAAGCTCCTGGTTTGTGCTTACATCACTTCATCATATCATTTATCTCTGGTGTGAAATTTTAATATCTCGGGTCAGTTCATCACATGACTTCTAACAAGACGGATCAGTAGCTGTGATTGAAATGCAGACAATTTAAATGTAAAAACTTCCAGTGGAGGATTTTTCCCAACAATTTGCTGAATATGAGGCTGATGATCGGCTCGGGGAGTTAATGAGAACYGTTAGGCTGAGTACCGGAGGCTTACTGAGTGTAATCTGTGCCTAGAAAAACTATTTCAAAGAAAGGAAGAAATAAGATGCATGAAAAAACGGATTCTTTTTTGTTAGAAATGTATTCATTTTAAAAACAAAACAACTATTTACAAAAAAACCATACAATATAAAACTAAATAAAATGAAGGGCAGCAGCAGAAGAATAAATCTTATAATATCTGCACCTTTTGTCCCCTAAATAAGTAAAAAACACACACACAAACAAAAAAACAAAGCTAAATTAAAACATCAACGCAAACAAGAATTCGTATACATTCACAATTACGATTTTCCATATTTCTTCAGAAAACAAAGTTTTATCATTTCTCTTAAAWGTATACATAGATCTGGCATTTTTAAGATCTTCCTCCAGACCATTCCACAATCCTATTCCCTGGATTGAAGTGCACCGTTATTTGAACTGGTACAAAACCAAGACTTCACAAACATCTCTATCAATTTAAGAAAATAATAACTCTCTCTTTTAAGAAAATTTACTTGGATGTTGGAAGGTAATATATTTTTGTGAGCCTTATACATAAACAGTAAAATATTATATCAACCAAGTCATAAAATTTCAATATCTTCAACTGATAAAATAATGTATTTGATGGGTGGCTGTAGAGTTTTCTAGTGATAATTCTTATGACTCTTTTCTACAAAATAAAAATAGGATTCTACCTGCAGTCCCAGAAATATAGACGCAAAAGTCAAGAAAAATACAAGCGAATGATGAAGACTGGTAACACAGATAAACACAAACAAATCAAGACTATGAAGGTTTAGAAATGCTTTAAATGCTTTAAACTTTTCTGGAACAAAAGGAAGGAAAATAGRAGCATCCAAAAGAAAGAAATAAAACTCAAGGATCAAAAATGAAACAGGAAAAGATTTAAAAGGACAGGACCAGCCTCAACTGCATCTTTGATGTTTTAGGGAAGCATTAGCAGTGTTGGCAGCATTAGCAGCGTTAGCAATGTTAGCGACATTAGCAACATTAGCAGCTGCTTTTGTCTCAGGATGATGATGTCATAACAAGAGCTGAGCACCAACAGCAAAGGCTGTGTTCCATTTTGAAATACTTACATGTAAAATTTAACATTTTGCCACACTCATATTTGTATTTATCATTTAGGCATAACATTTTAATTTAACATTTAGTAAAAATTAGCAAAATGTAAAAACAGTGTGCTAGATAATGAAAATGTGTTACTGACATTTTGTTTTACATTTTTAACACTTTGCACCCCAAAATGGAACTGATCAGAATTAAATATCAGGACATTTACTCAACAGTTGAAGCTCATCAGGCTGTTTAATGACATACAGTTGGTGATCTGTGGAGACAGATGTTTTGTACATTTATAAACATATTAGCTAATGTAAATGGACAGCCACGTCAATGCTATTTCATGAAAAAGAAACTTAAACATGAAACACCCTTTATTTTTGTGTAATAATCTTTTGTCCCTTTCCCATCAGGAAGAGTGTCGGAATTTCATCAAGGTCCTGCTCAGCCAACACGGAGGCCTGTTTGTCTGTGGAACAAATGCCTTCAACCCACTGTGTTCTAACTACACTGTTAGTATTCAACCATTTGCAACCCCACAGTTTACCTTACATCTGCTGTTTGTGGTTGGAGTTTTATCACTCTGATCTTATTACAGCGAGACACTCTGGAAATGGTCGGCGAGCCCGTCAGTGGRATGGCACGGTGCCCATATGACCCACGTCATGCCAATGTGGCATTATTTGCAGGTGGGATGGTGGCTTCACTTTCTAAAGATAAAAAAACCACAACACTAATTCCAAAAGAAAGTTGAAAATTGTCCTGATGCATCTCAGTAATCCAGGTTAAAAAATCAAAAGGAAAAAAATTGCATAGGTCTGCGACCAGTTATACATCGGGGAAACAAAGCAACCACTGTTCAAAGGAATGTCCCAACACAGACGAGCTAATTCTAATGGCCAGAACTCTGCAGTTTTCACTCATTTACAGGCCAGCGGTCACTCATTCAGAGATGAGGATGTTCTCATTCTTGATAGAGAGGAACGTTGGTTTGAGAGAGGAGTAAAAGAAGCCATTTTTGTGAAGAAAGACCGTCCATCATTAAACAGAGGTGGAGGCCTCCGTTTTCAGTTGTCCCCCTCCTACAGCGCTGCCATTGCCAGTATCACTCCACCCCCTGTTAACAATAAGTGTTAATTAGGTGTCATCGATAGCCATGTGATGTGAGTATCAGTCACATGGAGGCAGGGCTTAAAAGCCTGAATTTTGCCTGAAACTCTCAGACTGAAGAAGTCTCTTGGAGGAGAGACGAAACGTTTCATTAGAGAAGAACCCGTCCAGAAGACCTATACWATTTTTTCTTTTTTAAAGTTGAAAATTATTTGCAACATTTCAAATGTTTAGAAATTGTACAGTTTTTATGGGAGAATAATAAAGGTCATTTTGTGGCAGCAACACATCAAAAATATTGGGATGAGGCAACAAAAGACCATAAATGTAAGTACAGTAAAACGGTAATTTAAAGGAGCTAAAGATTTCAGAAATAAAGATGGGCAGAGGTTCACCAGTTTGGGAAAAACTGCATTTAAAAATAGTTGAACAATTCCAAATGCTGTTCCATCCACCAATTCAAGTTAAATCTCTATCATGCAAAGAAAATGCCATATTTAAACATCATCCAGAAATGCTGCGAACGTCTCTGAATCAAAGCTCTTAAAATGAGGCAAAGTGAAAAACTGTTCTGTGATCAGACGAATTGAAATTTGAAATTTTTTTTAGGAAACCACAGRTCCTTTGTACTAAAAAGAAGTGGGACCATACAGCCTGTTATTAGTGCACAGTTTAAAAGCTAGTCTCTCTAATGGTAAGTAAATAAAATATGGGTTTCTGAGATTTGCAAGCCATTGCATTTTTTCTTTCTGGTTTGTTTGTTTTCCACAACATTCCAACTCTTTTAGAATTGGAGTTGCAGTTTTGTAGGAAACGTCTGACTTGGTTTCCAGCTCTGGACTTTGAAATGTCCGCAGCTATAAGTTTATCTTTACAAATGATTAATAGTCAGACCTCTGGCTGCATCACTTGTTTGGTTTTAATCTTTCTGACCTTGTGCTATCTCTGTATCTGTGTCTTCCCCCTCTTCTTCTTAATCTTCTCACTCCCTCTCTCCCTCCCAGATGGAAGTCTTTTTACCGGCACAGTGACAGATTTCCTGGCCATCGATGCGGTGATCTATCGCAGCCTCGGCGACAGCCCCGCGCTCCGCACAGTCAAGCACGACTCCAAATGGTTCCGAGGTACTTCTCGAAAAACATTAAACCAAGAAAAACCTTCGGCAGAACGACCGGCATGCAAATCATCAAAGCCGTCCTCTTCATCACTTTATGACAGCTGAATCCTTTTGTCTGTGAGGACGGGGAAAAAAATTGCGGGGTTAAATAATAAGCTCCGTTCAGCAGAAGCAGACTTGATCAGGCCGTCCTTTTGGTAGAGCTTTTCTAACAGGAGCACGTTCAGACAGAGTGATGCATTCGGGTTCATCAGGATCCCTGCAGATTCAAAGTTTTCAGTGTGCGTGTGAACTGGACGGCCGTGGGCAAATAACAAGTCCAGGCAAGTCAACACTGGATGTGAGCGAGATGAATTAATGATTGAATTATCTGTTGTCCATTTTGAGAAATTAAACAGGACATAAATGTTTAATAAGTGAGTTCTGTGGACAGAAGCTTTCGTGTTGATGTTGGTCTTATTACAGAGCCTTTTGAGGTGCGGTGGGAATCACGTTTGATCCCCCCCCACCCCCAGCTCTTCATTACTACCCACTGCCAAAGGCAAAAGGCAGAGAAAGATTTTGCCCCCGTGTGTGTGTGTGTGTGTGTGTGTGTGTGTGTGTGTGTGTGTGTGTGTGTGTGTGTGTGTGTGTGTGTGNGTGTGTGTGTGTGTGTGTGTGTGTGTGTGTGTGTGTGTGTGTGTGTGTGTGTGTACCATTAGCAGAATATCTCATGAGCCAGTGGGCATATTTGAATGAAAACTTTCAGAAAGTAATCACTGGGTWAACGTCAAGCACTGATTMGTTTTTGGAGTCCGTCCCATTCAAGATGGCTGCCACTGACAAGCAATCTCATCGAACACACAAATGCTTATGACTCAGCCAATTTTACAGTTGTTAARCTCAAATGTAGTGCGTTAGTAGCGACACAAACTCTAAGCACTAACTGATCGAGCAAGATCTACTTTTTAAACATTAACTTCCGACGTCAATTATGTCTGTTAGCTGAATGTCTCATAAAACACAGGTTGATTTTGATGAAATTTTCAGAAAACCGTCATTATATGTACGTCTAAAACTGATTTCATTTTGCAGTCAACCCAAAATCAAATGGCCGCCCCAGCCAACCGACTTTACAAAAAAATAAAAGCAGCAATGACTCAGCTATTTTTTGTAATCATGAACTAAAATTTGCTGTGGTAGTRACTAAGGTTTARCTTCCACACAGACTCTAAGCACTAACTAAYTGAGCATAATCTGCTTTTATAATTTTGCCATTAACATTTGAGGTCAGTTATGTCTGTTAGCAGAATATCTCATAAAACACTGGGTTGATTTTAATGAAATTTTCAGAAAACCATAATTGTATATACTTCTGCAACTGTTTTAATATTGGAGTCAAGTCAAAATAAAATGGCCGCCCCAGCCAACTGACCTTACAAAACATAAAAACAGTTATGACTCACTCAGCTAGTTTTTGTAAGAATAATGATGTGGTTGTAGCTGAGTTTCAGCCCTAACACAAACTCAGAGCACTACACATTTTGTAAAACCTTGGCTTAAAACCTCAGCGTTTGCTGTTTTCTTTATTCTTGTTTGTCTGTTAGCGAAATATCTCATGAACCACAAACCAGTCTTAAGGAAACTGTCAGAAATGAATCACTGAGTGTACATCTACAACAGATTAAATGTTGTAACTAACTCAACTGAAGAAGACCACCACAGTTAATTGTCAATTGTGCCATTTCTCATTGTAAGCTGATCTTTGTTTGGATGCTATGAAAAGCAGCAGGTGAAATGTGTTCTTTAGAAAATTCTGAGCTTTTATTTTCACTATTTTTAAAGACTCAAAGTGTTGYCTCGTTATGTTTTACAGAGCCCTACTTTGTCAGTGCCATGGAGTGGGGGCCTCATATTTATTTCTTCTTCAGAGAAATGGCGATGGAGTTTCATCATCTAGAAAAGGTCCTCTTCTTTTTTTAACCCCCACATTTTTTACAAAATCTTTGAAAGCCTTCACACTATTGAGATAATTTTTTTTCTTTTGTATGATTTTGGCATGTATCTCGTTCCACAACYTTTGTGCTATTTCAACAATTTATATATCAWAATATTCAGCTCCTTCAGGACATTTCTGCTCTGACGTTTAGTACTTCAGTTGTATATACTTTTTGAGATATTTTAGTTTTTTCTGCCATTTTTTTTCTAATTGAAAATGAAGGGAGCTGTTTTCAACATCCTTAAAATCCTTGAAAATATTTATAAATCTCTTTTGTATATTKTACCTTTCGTTCATGTTTTGCTTTTCTTAAACTCCTTTGTACTAATTTCAGCTTCGTTTGGCTTCTATTTTGCTGATTTTAGCTTTTTTTTAGCTGTATCATTCTGACCTTTTCTGGTATTCTTCTGCTAATTTACACTTTCTGTGCATCTTTCAGCTTCTTTTCTGCTATTTTAATTTTTTTCTTCTTTCAGCAGCTTTCTGCTAATTTCAGCTGTTTTTTGTGTTTTTAGCTAAAATTACCTATTTGTTCTAATTTCAGCTTCTTGCTGCCTAATTCAGCAAACATGCTCGTTCTGTTTCTTTGTACTAATTTCAGCTACTTCTTAAAACTATTTTCAGCTTTTTTGTTGCTATTCAGCAACAATCTTTAAGCAATTAAGCATTCACAATGCATTTTCACAGGAAATGCAAATTTTCTAGTATTTCTTTCTTTCTTTTTTCTTTCTTTCTTTCTTTCTTTCTTTCTTTCTTAATTAATTTTTTTAATTTATTCATTTTCCATCTGCAGTCCTTCAGCCTTTATGTCATGTTTGATTTTCTCATCCCAGGTGATGGTGTCCCGTGTGGCTCGTGTCTGTAAGTCTGACCTGGGCGGCTCTCAGCGCGTCCTGGAGAAACAGTGGACGACGTTTCTAAAGGCCCGGCTCAACTGCTCCATCCCAGGAGACTCCCACTTTTACTTCAACCTCCTGCACGCCACGAGTGACATCATCCACATGCAGGGACGAGACGTCATCCTGGGTCTCTTTTCAACGCCCCCAAACAGGTACCAGGACGCTCGCAGGATGTGCAAAAAAAAAAAAAAAACTACAGAGATGTTATTTTTCTGATTATATCCTTTTCCCATCGTTTGTTTCTGCTAGTATCCCAGGTTCTGCGGTTTGTGTGTTCGACATGCAGCAGCTCGCTCACGTTTTCGAGGGCCGGTTTAAAGAGCAAAAGTCCCCCGAGTCCATTTGGACACCTGTTCCAGATGAGGCAGTGCCCAAACCAAGGTAATGTGATGCAAAGTGTGTGAAGGGGAAAAAAATAAAAACCAGCAGAAAACTGCAGTCCTGCTGTCCTGAGCACCTGTCCCGCTGATACTGTCAACCCAACAGAAACCTAAATCTTCTGTAAAACCCAGCCTCTGGGAGATWAAAAGATGATGTCATCTCTTTTTTTATGTCACTTGTTCCTGCTTCTCCTCACGTCTGCAGGCCCGGAGGATGTGCCGTGCAGGGATCCAGATTTAGCACCTCGACCACGCTGCCAGACGAGGTGCTGAACTTYGTGAAGACCCACCCTCTTATGGATGAAACCGTCCCACTGCTGGGGCAAAGACCCTGGGTGGTCAAGACGATGGGGAGGTACACAAATGAATCTTTGTTTTATGTGAAAACAAAACCGCTGAAACTATGCGTCACTGCCTGTATGTTGCACAGGAAGTGTGCTTTCCCGGTCTAATTTATCAGCTCATGTGTTCGTATAGGTACCAGCTGACAGCCATGGTGGTAGACACCGAAGCTGGCCCCCACAAGAACCGTACGGTTCTGTTCCTGGGCTCCACCCGAGGGACCATCCTCAAGTTTCTAATGATTCCAGGCGGAGATTCGGTCTCACACAGCAGCGTGTTCCTGGAGGAGGTGGAGGGATTCAACACGGAGAAGTGAGTCAAGAGATCCTCAACATTTMTCTTCGCTGTTGTACAAATCGTGGCATATTGCTCCAGATATGGATTCCCCGCTGCACCTGCTTCCAGCTGTGCTTTCTACTTATGAAGTCTCTTGAGTTACACTTACTGAAAAATCAGTATTTTTCTATAAGTACRGCTCAGCGTGGAAACCCCGTTCACTTCAAACTGCCATATCCATCACGGGTTACTTATACCTTATAATTAAAGTAAGACTGTTCACCTTTCTGTGAGCAGCAGCAGCAGCAGCCTCAGCGGAGAGAGTTACAGGATCTATACTCATTAAATTCTGTTGAGCCTCAGTGTGAGCGGGGCAGGATGTTAGAACAAAGCCTGTCAATCACTCATGTAACAAACCAATAATCTAACTGTCCACTCGTGTCAAGTCAGCACCTGGTATAATGTGATTACTCCGGTCYAAACCGCCTCCATCGGAGCGGCTGTGTGCAAAGATATTTTCAACAGGCAAGAGGTTATTACATGTTGGCAAACTAGGAGAAAGGTAAAAACATAAACACCCCACATAGGAAAATTTGTCTGKCCCAGTTCTGGCCCRCGCAGTGCACCAACACTTAGCCCAGATACCTCAAAGARTGATGGCCCATTGGTGGAAAACATGAAGTGTGCTAGAGGTGGTCCGTGCATGGGCCRGCASCACATAAAMCAAACCACATCTGGGCCAGTTGTGGCATGCCATCTTAAAAACAGTGTCAYTGCCAGACCTGGCCCACATCCTGCTGACAAACTACTTGTCCTTTCAGCAGTCAGACAGCAGTGCCAGCTTGATTCCAGATCTGACCCACACACGTCTGCTATGTGAGACAACGGTGTWAAAACCATTTTGTTTTAGCTTAAACACAGGAGTAAAAAAAAGGCTACTTCATTTAAGTGTAATCTAATTACTCTATTACAAATTGTTATTTGGTTGAAATGAATTTTTAACAAAACATTTTTTCTAAATATTATTTAATGATTGCATAAAAAACTGTCTCAAAGCCTGTGAAAAAAGACGTTCTGCTTGTCCAAAAAGATGAGAATGACATTTTAGTCTTTCTGCCGTATGGTTTTATGATCAGTTAGGTGTAGAATTGAACAATGTTTCGTAGTTAAGACGTTGTTTTTACTTGTAATTTTTTATCAAAACACTAAAACAACAAAGCCAATAAAAGCACCTATGTGATTTGAATGAAATTACAAAAAAAAAGGATATAAAACACCAACAGTCAGCAGTCAAATACAGATAACTTTCAGCTCATTTCTTCTTTCTGCATCCATGAATGGTTGTTTCTTTTGTGGACAGCTGGACTGCAACCCAACACTGTCCATTATTGATTTAGTTGTGAATTATGAGCGTGATAATCTAACAGTGTGTATGTGTGTGTATGTGTGTGTATGCATGTGTGTGTGTGTGTGTGGGCGGGGGGGATCCTGCTGCAGTTAGCTGGAAGTTGCCCCTGCTCCGTGGCTCTTTGATCCTGGGTGGACTGATTAGACCTGTGTTTTAATCCAGCCTCTTTTGAATGAGGTTCTTCTCAGACCAGGAAAGACGTCCGTGAAACTCTGTCTCATCTGTCTCCAGGTGCGGCGAGGACTCCCCTCAGGCTCGTCAGCTCCTGGCCCTGACTTTGGACCGGACCAGCCACACTCTGCTGCTGGCCTTCCCCTCCTGCCTGGTCAGAGTGCCCACGTCTCGCTGCCACCTCCACTCGCGCTGCATGAGGTAAGTGATACGAATACATTTGTAGCCTACTGTTTCTATTGTTCTTTTTTTTTTTTTTTTTTTGGCTGATAATTTTTCCCGACTAAATGTAGTTGGAGGTCCAAAACAATGGCCACATTTGTTTCTTCTCTGATTTCTCCCTCCACCTGTTACTGCAGTCGTTCCAATAAAATTATCATTTCACTTTTTTGTTTCAGCCAGCARAGGAGGAATGCCACCTGTGTTTGCTAAATCACAGCTTGCTTATTTTGTTTACTTTTTATTCTGAGGGATTTTTTTTCACTCTGGAAAAATAATATTTAACTTGAAGAAAAAGTCTTCAGGACTGGATTTTTTTTACTGTACAAGTATCTAGCTGATGCAGTGTGTGTGACTGCAGATTATGTTTCATCAAATTTCAGAACTTATACCATATTATAATTATCATTTTCAAAAAATGTGATTTTTATGACCCTCACAGCCTTCCAATACCATCTTTACCAGCTAATAACCAGATTAACCCTTGATTAATTTGACTCCTAAACATTTWTTTAGTTATTAAACAATAGTTTATTTTCTTTGACTGTCTGTGGTYGTGCAGAAGCTGCCTGGCCTCCAGGGATCCGTACTGTGGCTGGACCAAAGGCAGCACCTGTTCCTTCCTGAGACCAGGAACACGGTGAGGGGAACAAACACACTCAACACTGACTTATCTACCAAATTCACAGAAGTGTTGCAGACGTGATCATTTTACACAGACTAGTGATGTTCGAAGCCACTGATTTCCTGTCCAATTCTGATACTGAGTAAAACTCAGGCTGGTATCAGTGATGCTCATCCAGTACTGATACTTTGTGCAAATACRCCTAATGTCTCTGGTAAATCTGAGCAGTGAATTTTAAATCATAAAGAATACAAGACATCAGAGAAATTTAATCGTTTTAAGTATTTTGATGTATCGTGCTCATTTAAACATAGAGATAATACAACAGAAAAAAAACAAAGGACGTCATATCAAAATATTGAAAATGCTGTTTTAAACAATACAAAGATAAAGTAAAATAATCAAACCATTCAAATAAATTCTTGTTCAATTTTCAAGTGCTGTAAAAAATGAAAACTATCATCTTAATTTACATTATATGAACATGCAACATCTACAGACGTGCCGCTGCGCTTACCCAGGCGGAGGAAAAAGTAGTTCCCACCAACTGCGCATGATTCAGATAAGATTTTAATAGTTTGGTTACTTTGTACTGTGTTCCTGCTAATGATATACAATACTTGAAATTAATAAAGTATCAAAGTATTGATGTTTTGATTTTAAAATCAATTTGAGACCTTAAAGTTCTKGTATCTGTCRTRTAGATATTTCAGTATCGAKCCACACATCACTAACACAGACAACAAAACATAAGAAATTGACAGCTAAATAAAGAAAAATTTAGGACTGCCAACTGTTTTGAGTCTTTAGCCTCYAGAGACACAAAACCTTGAACTGTATTGCCTGTAATTCAACTTTCATCACGTCTGTGCAGCTGACCCTCACCTTTGACCCTGCAGAGAAAAAATATATTGATAATGAGATCAGTGGTGTATCTCTTTACAATAAACGATTCGCCAAAGCGTCTTGTTATTTTTAATAATAAATACTGTCAGACTTGATTAGACAGAAAAGTGAGCTACTTTAATGTTTTTACATTCAGTTCAAATTTTACATAGCCTCATTGGTAAAAAAAAAAAAATTAATGAGTGGCCATGAGAGAGTTAATGCATGTCCATGAGATAAATATTGCAGTCATTTTTTATGCAGAGACTGCTGATTGTTAACATAGACAGGTTTGAATTAATTGAATTTAATTTAAATMTAGGAATGAATGACAAAAAATTATCTTGTGGCCATGCATTATATATACTTTTTACCCAATTTTACCAGACAGGGTCTATAAATTTTAGACACTTGTGTCAAACTGTAAACATCCATTCTTAGAGCTCAAATATCTCCCTCTGGTTTGTGTTGCTCTCTGAGGAAAATGTTCCCATGTGTTTTCTCTGTGGCAACAGGATTCCTTTCCAACAAGATGTGGAATACGGGAACACCAGCTCCCACCTAGGAGACTGTGATGGTAGGTTGCAGCACTGTGACATGGATGCTTCTGGCTCCTGGTGGTTAGTTAGGAAAGGCTCCACCTTGTGGCTCAGGGATTTATTACACCTGCATGCTTKTGACTGAACATTTTGTTCTAATACAGCAAAAATGAGAGAGCGTTTATAACAAAATGTATGACAAATGAATCATTTTTCTTTGAATCTAAAATAGAACATCCTCGTCTGCACAGTGTGATTTATTCCTTTTTAGTGTCTCGGCGTCTTTGTCACACGAATCAGGTGAATGAAGAAGCAGTTTTTTAAAGTTGAAACGCTCCGAGTGTGAGATGGTTTAATTAGACAGGATGTGGGAGAGGGTCAGACAATGTCAGACGGCAAAATGTGAACTGCACTATCCTTTGGCTCATGAAAGGTGAAGATCTGAGGTAATAAGTGTGAAACAAGCTGGAAATAGTTTTAGTAAAATGTCATGATTCTGGTAAGTGGCTCGCATTTCAGATGTGTCGTTTACAAAAAGCACAACATGAAAAAGGTTCCAYATTTAAGGCATTAATGTCACACATTTGTCCTAAACTGAAATATAGGTTTCTATAGGTTCATATACCTCTGTGAGTCTGACGCTGTCAGAAGAAAATAACGCCAGAACTGCAGATGTGATGGACTTTTATTCGAAGGATGAAAGAACTGGAGAGGTCAAGCCAGAGACGGGCTTTTGAGCTGCTCTGTCTGCAGATGGGAGCGATTAGAGCTGGGTGGAAACACTGAGGTAATGTGAGGAAAAGGCTCTCGGGCCAGGCTGGAAAGTGTGAGGGGAGAGTCTGCTGCTGCGGTCTGAGCTGCGCTGATGACAAGTGCAGGCCTCGCTTTAACCTGGAGCTTCTGAGACCTCAAGGCCAAACTGGAGCGAAGATCCTTGCGAGCACAAACATCATAATGATCAACGGTTAAGAAAAGTCATTGTAGTTTTTATTTTTATTAAGTATAACCACAATTCCAAAAAGTTGCCACATTGTGTAAAATGTAGAAAAATCACGATTCGGTTCGGTTCAATACTTTAGTCTCACGAGTCGATATTTTTTTCGATACAAAAAAAGAGAAATGTCCAYRCCCTTTTWAACTTGTAATTTATTAAAATTAATTATGAACATTTGTTTAACCTCAAAATACAGTTTTTAAATTAAATGTTGCTGAAACAGCAAGTTTCTCAGTGGATCTGTGCTTGACAATGCAGCCTAGGCAGAGTAGTCGAACACAGATCCACTGATCCTTCAACACAGAGCATCTTCAGAAGACAAGTTGATAAATTTAATTTGAAAATTCTGTATTGTTCGATACAAGTGTKTATTGAACCTAAAGCACTGTATTGAATGGTTCACTATGGGTACATGTATTTTTGCACCCATATATATATAAAATTTTGCAATACTCATAAACCCAGATTTTATTTTCAGTGAAATATAGTAAAAATATCAAAAACGTATAAGTTTAGTCATTCAGGTAAAAAGGTAACTTTAAATCTTACAGCAGCACTAAAAGGTCCGGGTACCAAAAGTGKATTTTAGAAGTAAAGCTGGGTAGAGGTTCACCAGTCTTCGAAAAACTGCTTTTAAAATAGTGGAGCAATTTCACAATATTCTTCCTTGATGGAAAATCAGTAAAACCCTTCATGTGCCATTATCTACAGATATTTAGATATCAAGATATTTGAAGAATCTGGAGAAAAAGTGCTTAAAAGGTCTATAAAAGTCTGAYTAATTTTACACATCATTGTGAGTAAACACCGTTTGTCATGTCATCTGCAAATGCTAAAGCTCTATCATGCAATGATGAAGGCAAACGTAAACAASGTGCAGTAACACGTTTCTGTTCTCTAATTTATAGTTCATATTATATGAACTGGAAATAGTAAAAAACACTGTTCTGTGGTGAGTGAAATTGAAMTTAGAAATATTTTTATAAACCACACACAACATCTGTTCTTCTAAAGGAGCTTAAAATTATCCATCTTGTTATCAGCACACAGTTCAAATATCTGCTTATCTGTTAATGTGGTGGTGGTTTGCACTTCAGAAAAATAGATACAGGCCTTAGAAGAACTCACTGCTCTTATCAAGACAGCATCTTTTTTTTTTTTTTAGAAAAGCTCTTGCATATTTCAGCAAGACAATTCAGCACCAGGTACTGCATCCATTACAGCAATGTGGTTTTGTAGAAGAGTTCCGGTTCTGAACCGACCTGCATGCAGTGCAGACCTAGCATGTGAAAGTATTTGATGCTTTGTGAAACAAAAACAAGACAATATTCTCTTCCAGAATCTCCAGTAACTGGTCTTCTCAGTTCTTAGGCATTAACAGACTAATTTGTCCTATTTTTTAGAGGTGTTGCTGCCATTTAATTGAAATTTACCAAAATTTTTCCTACAAACTGTAGATTTTATTAGCAATTTTATTATTTTTCTTTTATTGGTTGATGTATTTACTGTGTTCCGTTGTGAATAAATGTGCTCTGTTTGTATTTACAGCTCACACAGTGAGAGAGGATGCTGTTGTTTGAACTGTTTTATTAAAAGTCATGTTTATATTTGTGTCTCTCGGCAGGATTTCTGCAGCAGAGTCTGTTGATTGAACCAGAAAGCTTGGTCTCCCTCAACCTCCTTGTGGCGTCTGCAGTGTCTGCCTTCACCATCGGGGCGGCGCTCTCTGGACTAGCCGTGTGCTGGATCATGGCCCACAAGCCCGCCAGCCGTCGCCACGGCGGCACCACGCAGTCCTCCATCCAGCGGCGCGAGAGAGGCYTACTGAGCAACGCCGGGATGGCGGGCTCCGTGCTGAGCGTGACACGGCAAGGAGGCGGGGAGCGCACCTGCTCGCAGGGCGGAGAGACCCTGTTCGTCATGCCCAACGGCTGGGTGAAGTCCGGCGAGCTGGACCCCGGGTTCCTGCCCACTCCGGAGCACACGCCGCAGCAGAAACGCAGAGGCCTGCGGCTGTCCGACTCCAACTCTGGAGGCTGGGACACCAGCCAGACGTACCTGGGGGGTGGTTCCGTGGGCCTGGGCTCGCCCTGCCGCATGCCCCCCTCCGTCTACCTGACCACCAGACTCTTCCAGCAGGGCGGGGGCGGGAGACACTGCGGCGACGGGCGTGGGAGCGACACGCCGCGYCAGCATTACGTCTGCTTGAACAAGCAGGAGAAAGTGGGGAAGGGCACGCCGAAAGCCCCACTCAGAAAGTCCGCGGGAGAGTACGTCTACCCCATGACCCCGCAGGACTCGCCCGAACGCCGAAGGGTGGTGTCGGCACCCAGCGCCCCCGTGGAGTACAGCGAGCCTCTGCCGCTGCGCTGGCCGGCTCAGGAGGGCTACATCCTCAGCAGCCACGGGATGGTGCCCCTSCCTCTGCCCCTGCCCCCGCCCGCCATGCCCCCTCCGAGCGGCCAGGGCTACATGTCCCAGCAGCACACGCCGGGACTGAGCCGGGCTCTGCTGAGGGGGGCGCTGGAGCGGGGGGAGCTGGGGGAGYTGGTGGACCTCAGCCATCTGATGAGTAAGAAGAACTGCAGTGACAGGACTCAGACCGGCCAGTGACTGTGGAGAGAATGAAGGAGACAGGATTCTGCCCGCGTGTGGAGCTCTTATTTCCATAGATCTCTCCTTTCCCCTCCTCATTCTGTCAGTCACCTCTCCCGTTTCCATTCTCTTCTCCCCCTCCCCACCTCACATTCATTTTTCATTGTCATCCGGCTCCCTCTGCGCTGTCAGTCTCTCAGGCAAAACCTCTTCAACCCATAATGAGTCTTTCCTTATGACTGGCTGCAGGCTTTGCCACTCATATCAYGGCTCGCACTAATTGGTCAGATGGTCTGAGGTTGTTGCTGTGTCTGCAATGCAGAGTTGCCTCTCTCTCTCTCCCCGCTCTCAGTGGCAGCAGGACAAGGGAGGAGAGGGGATGAAGGGGGAAAAGATGGACAGAGAGAGAGMGAAGGAAAGAAAGAAAAGCCCCAAACGGGGAGCAGAGAGGAAGAGGACAGAGACGATTGAGACTGCTTTGACTGAGGCTGCAGGACCAGGAGTGGGATTCTGGGTCCCTCTCCTGCAACGTTAACAAGACTGCCAGACATCTGCTCCCAACTTTATATCTTGTTGGTCTGATTGCCAACGACGTACTTGAAAGGAAATTGTGAATTCTGAACCTCATTTAATCTAATGCTCGGGGTGATTCATCAGACAGACTTTAGGGTTATTCTGACCGAACAGATGAATCAAAGCAACATCCTTCTTCTTGTTCCTCTTGGTATTATTATTATTATTCCTTTTTGCACACTTAGAAACACTTGCTTACATGTTTTTGTGCAGGTGTGGGGKGGAGGGGTCTTCAGTATACTATAGAAAGCATGACTCGTGTGCCAAATGCCTCTAAGTTGTCTCATAGGGATATGGGACCATAACTCATGTCTGCAGAGGCAGGACTGAAATGTCAGCAGTATTCCTGCCAACCACACGCTCTTTGGAATGACAGCATCTCAGCTGTTTGTTCCGTTTTTTTCCCCCCTCTCCCCCCTCCACTTCTTCGTTTTCTTTAACAACCAGTAATTCTTCAAGGACGTCAGGTGGGGAAAGGACCACACTGCTGGACTGATGTGAAAAAATAGCATAACAAGAAGACAAAGAAAAGGAAAAATAAGAGTTTGTTGTTGGGGATGTAAAAGAAATGCCCTGAATACCTGYGTTTGTTGCTGTTTGAATGTAACCCGGCTTTATTTAGTATAATTGGTCTGTAAGCCCCACGGTGGGTCAAGGTCCAGTGAATGTGTTGCAGTGCGAAGTGACAGTTACAGTGGTTCTGACTGAAACCTCCGAGCCAACAGGGGTAATGGAAAGGTTCCCAGCAGGCAAATGAAACCATATTTTCAGCCTAACAAAATGTGCTGTGCTGGGTTTGCTTTAAACCAGAGACTAAAGGCATAAAAACATGCCAAGTTATAAAAAAATAATGCAAACATGTCACTAATTACTACATGGTTTCAATCTGTAGATCGACAAATGAATGCAGGTGCGTGCCGACCCAAATGTGAGCAGCAATATTGAGTTTAAATGTAAATAGTGAATCTCTGTTTCGTTAAAATGATTACGTGAAACAGTACAGTATAGTCAGACAGAAACTAAACATCATGTCATTAATGTTTACTTTTTTCTTCTTCTTTTAATATGTGATTCATATCAACCAGGCATCAGGATGGATTTCAGCAAGCCAGAGTGTCTTTTTTTCTCACATCGATGTGCCAAATCAAACTGATGGATAACTTTTTGATGCCTGATCACTGAAGCAAAAAGAAAAAAAAATGGAGAGAGAAGCTTGTTTTAAAGTGCCGTGAAGAAGCCATGTCAGTCAGCAGAGCACCTTTTTTTTCATGTACTGTGGTTTTGAAAAGGGCAGCACGGTGGTGCAGTGATCATAAGTTTGTCTCAGAGTCTGGGGCCTTTCTGTTTGCATGTTCTCCCCGAGCACATGTGGATTTCCTGTGGGTATTCTGGTTTCTTTCTTCAGACTGAAAACATGCTTGTTAGGTAATTTGGTAATTCAAAATGGTTTCAAAAATGAGAGTGTGGATGGTTGTTTGCAGTGGTGGGCACAGCTAACTAAAAAGTTAACAACTAAGCTGCTAAACAAGGATCTTGGCTTAGCAAACTRATCCGTTAAACAGATTTAAAAAATTAGTGGCAGCTAATGTTGTCCACTGAGTAAGACAACGGACATTTAGTCTGTGTCCTATGTCTTCATCTCCTTTCAACTGAAGACCTTTCAGAATAAAGCWTTTMTTTGATCAAGTTTGTATTTTTATTAATCTGTTTAAAATTAGCCAAACAACAAATATCAAATACTTTCTCTACCATATTGTATATGTAGTCAATCTTTGTATTTGTTATTTAAATATTGTTAAATGTTATTTTATTTCTTATTGATGCCYTTAATTTGAAATTTACAAAAACACATAGGGTGCCTGACACGTCCAACAGGTCCAAAATAAGTGGCATAAAAATAGAAGTTTTGCACAATTTTAGAGGAAGCTAATTTGTCCACTAACAGTTTCCTAAGTTAGCAAAAAAGTTAATTAAATAAATGAGAAGCTAGTTCTGCCATTAGTAGAACAGTGCCCACCACTAGATGTTTTTTCTCTATGTGGTCATATGATGGAGTCAAATAGGGGTCTCTGCAATACATGGGAGGAGCTTCTTGTGTGGGCGGAGTTTGTCCTATCCATGATTGGCAGAGTTTATGACTGGTTGGATTGAATTTAAAAGAAGAAGTAATGTTATTTGTAAAAATATTGTGAATATGTAAATATGATATATGTACCGTTTAAAACAGAATGACTCAAAAATTTTTGTGAACATGTAAATATAATTTATTTGACCATCCTGTCTGAAATTGTCACTAATATTAGGTAATATTCATTTTAAGTGGTCTTTTTACAGGCTGGCTGGGGATGTTTAGACTGAGCTGAATTGTTACACGTCCCTTATCGTTCAGATTTCCTTTGATGAGTTCTAAAATTAATAT